AAAAAAAAAAAACATGAATCTACCATGCACATAGGGTGGTCCTTAAAATCAAATGAAGGATTTTTTTTCAGTCTCACCCTCTCAATCGTAATACCACGGTCACAGATATCACATATTAATTTTGGTCCCGGTTAAGACGTTTTCATAGGGTAATCTGAACTTTGACCCCTGAGCGACACGCCTTTACCCGACATCAATCGGGACCAAAATTGATATGTGATATCTTCGACTATAGAGCATCGACGTAGGGGTGGGGCATAGGAAATCTGATATGAAAATGTGCTTTCTACATTTAAGGACCACCCTAATGTACATATGTTTATGCATAGTTAAATAACATAACGCACGTAAACTAGGGCTGCCAGACGTCCTGGTTGTCCAGGATTTGTCCTGATTTAAACAAATTGTCGTAGTGTCCTCAAAGAAGTGCTTCCAGAAGGGCTTTAGTAAGACGTACTTCTGAAGGCCTTTCGAAGAAGTTATTTTAAAGCTTTCTCTTCTTCTTCTTTAGGGAATTTAAATATTTAAGGTTCAGATCAAATATTTTTCATTGCGACTTAAAATTCTTATTGAATCCTATTTATAGATTGAATCCTATTTGTAATGCTAATGCATATACTTAAGTATATTCGCGTAAATAGTAAATAGGAAACCTCTTTCTAGGAAACATGCAGGGATGCACTTTTTCAGTCCTTAATGGGTAAATCTTTTAGAATCGCTTCATCTACAAAATGGTAAAAATGATCATGAAGTGCATTGTAGGTAATGTGGAAATTTGCTAATGGTGGTAAGGCAAGCATTCAAACCACTTTAAAAGCGCCAAACATTTTTCCACGTTAAGTCATCGTCAAGAAAAAATTTGCTCTTTTATGATTAAACGAAATTCAGAACTTGAGCGTTACACATCATCAATCATCAATCAGCTCTACGGATGGCGCAACAAAACTACATTGCTTATAATATCAGAAAATATTTACTTCAAAATAACGCAACGCCAGAACCAAATAAACTGTATTTATAGCGAATAAATGTCACTTACATAAGTCATAGTGGGCAGGGCGCACAGGTAGATGCAAGCCAAGAGCAGCAGCACAAAAAGTTCCCGCCGACGTCCGATGGCCCGAGGATATTCATCACAGAGTGCCGTTATCATCGCCTCTAATCCACCAAATGTACTATCCAAGCCCAGCGTGATCAGCATAAGAAAAAAAATTATGGACCAAAATACCGAACCGCTCATAGTGGCAATCGCTTCCGGGTAGACTATGAAAACGAGACCAGGTCCCTCCAGTCCGACTTTATCGATCGAAGTTTTCTGCACATGTGCCATATACCTGGAAACGAAGAAGAGGTTTTGAAAATAAATATGTATAATAATACATTATTGACTCTAGACCCAAGGTATTTATTCGTAAAATGGAGAGAAATGCTTTTCATTGTAAACCCCAAAAACATGACCTACTAAATCGTGAATGCTCTATATGTTGGTCGTATTACTGAAACATGGAGACTAAAATGTATAAAAATTTGGCGAATTAACGAGATTTTTTGAAGGGATCAACGGTTTGTTACGAATTATTGAGATTCTCGCGTTGTCTTTAATAGACTATATTTGTATAGTCAGTCTGATTCAGCGGATAGTGTTTTCTCATTCCCAAGACAGCCGGTTCTACATGCTCGAGTTTTTTCCATCAGAAGATTGTTGTTTTCACCCTGCTTTACTTGTAATCAAAAATACTTCGAAATTATTTTGACTTATTGATTTCTAAATTAAAGCTTTACCTATTTTTAGCAATCATATTGTAATTTTGGTCATGATTTCTGACTAATAGTAGGTGTTACTCTAAAGAATATATGTAAAATAAAACTTTCTAGCCGATTTTTTTAATTTGGGTAACAGAATAATTCGAAATTGGTTTTTGAAAACAGGTGAATAATGGAACACCCTAGTTACTAAGTCTCGGCGTCCCCAAAGCAAAGTCGGCATTCTGTCTCAAAGAGCTAGACTAACTCGGCTATATTTGAGAGAAAGGATAAACCAAATGACTGTGCTGTCTTAGGCCCCCCATAGCTTTGCGGTTTGTGAGTGTATCCATTCATAATTATAAGTCACAAGAAAGGCTAACTGAGACTAAGAAAATGCATTTCAAACCCTTTTCTAGGTTTATCCTGTAAACGATAGCAAAGTCAACATTTACAGCAACAGCTTTTGTAACGACTTGTGGAGTTTCAACTGAGTCTTTTAACAAGGACTATACCAAGATATTTGACCTTGTCAGGGTACTTAAGTACTGTTCCTTCATGTCGAGAATATCTTTAATAAAATAAAAAGAGCCTCATTGTACTGTGCAAAAATAAAGGTAGAAAGAGCCAAAGATTTCTAAGCAAAGCGCAATATTTCCCCCACTGTTCCTATATTATTTAGAATGAATATCATTCAACGAATTCCAAATTGTAACGTACAACCAAGAATTTGGGTGAAACTCAATTTCCGATTTTTTGATACTCACCCTAGTACAGAAAATATGACAAAGCCCGCAAGGAAACTGGTCAAGCAGTTCACACTACTCGTGATCAGCGCGTCCCGATAGCAATTGTTGTTAAACTTATTGTAGCTCGATAATGCGAGCAATGTTCCAAAACCAGGCCCCAGAGAGAAAAATATCTGTGAAGCCGCATCGATCCAAACCTGTGTAAATAAAAATATTATTAACAAAAAATTTTAGATAAAAATTTGTATAAACTTATATGCCATACACATTTACCTTTGAGTTCTTCAATTTATGCCACTCTGGCGTCAAATAGTACCGAATACCCTCCATTGCACCCGGTAAAGAGACGCCGCGCACCAGCAATATGAAGAGCACTGCATAGGGCGCTAACGCCGTCACCCACACAACTTTGCCTGCGCTGCGCACACCTTTCCACAGCGAAAAGTATACCAAAATAAATACACCAAAAACGCACAAAGCCAATGTGGGCTTTATCGGCCCCATATAATTCAGGCCATCCGATTTGTATTGCTCCAGCACCATGCGTCTAGGTAAGATAAAAAATTTAGTATTCAGATTACAATTTGATATACAATTTTATATTTGCATGAATTGTACGAGTATTGTTAGATTTACTTACTCGAAGAACTCCTTTGCTGGTGTGGTCGCCTTGTCGGTGAAATTCTCATTCGTCACCGGCATACAACTATTGGTATTCCATGAATTGCCACATGACGTCCATGGAAGTGTTGAGGTAAACGATGCAAATAAATAATATACCGCCCAGCCGATTATAGTGTTGTAGTACATTCCCATATAAACATCAATTAGACAAATAGCGTAACCGACACCTGTTTAAAATAAATGATAGAAATGTAGGAAAATGCATGTTAGGTGAGTATACGGGTATGTGCGGTAATTAAATTAACTACTACCGACTGATTGTCGAAATTCGTTCACCTAATTTTTTTCGCAAGCTTTTTAACCAACTTCCAAGAAAGGAGGAGGTTATCAGTTCGTCGGAATATTTTTATTTTTTTATTTTTATTTTTATTTTAACTTTTTTTATGTATGTTACCGCATAACTTTGGACCACGTCAAACGATTTCGATAATGCTTTTTTTAAAGGAAAGTTGTTACCTCACAGGTGGTCCCATACTAAGTTGTTTTAAATCCGATGATTGGATCATGAAGAAATTAATGATAACCTTAAATTTTTATATGAAAATTGAAGTCGGTTTTTTTTTGCTTAAAAACTACTTTAAATTACTTGTTGTTATTTAAACTTACTAAAGCTTCAACGGTTTTTATTTACTGTTAACTGTTGACAGACATAGAATGCAGGAAGACTCCCAACCTGCTCCTTGACCGTTGTATTGGTCCCTGGACCCAGGAACATTCCTGGCAACTTCTTAGCCGACGAGCTGGAAAGGAGGGGGATGGAAATACCGAACTCATCGAGGAAGTAAATACTAGGTGGGCGGTAGAAACCAACTGCCATACTAACAGGTATATTTGGCCAAAGATTGGTGTAAAGCGAACCACAGCTCTCACTCCGCGGGACCGCTCCTCTCTCAGAATCACCGGGCATTGCCTGATGGGCACACACGAAAAAGGGTGAGGATACCCCAACAAAGATTTTTGTCGCAGTTGCAGAGACGAGGAAGAGGTGGAGAGCATTGAACATTATCTCTGGCATTGCCCCGCCCTGGTCAACACGCGCAACCAATTCTTCAACAAGTACTTTCTAGACTGTTTAGCCGACCTGAACTCGGCGAACGTTCGCTACTTTTTGTGCTATACCTATCGAGCCCTTACCGCAAAAATAACGCAAGCGACATTTTTTTTTTCAAGATTTACTTTTTGATGCAGGAATGCATCTAGATGCTCTAGGAATATTTCTGCATCAAAAAGGAAATTTTGAAAAAAAATGTCGCTTATTTATGTTATTTTGGGGGTTAGAGCTCGATATAAAATGCACTCGGCGGTTCAATTACTAAGGGAGGGAATGAAACAAATGGCTTCCAGCCTTCGTGTGCTCCGTGCTCTCTGCAGTGTCTAGAGTGGCCAAATCTAACCTCACCGTTGAATGCAATTTTTTTCATCTCCTCAAATGGGTTAAGTATTGCATTAGTAGTATACGTGGTATTGTGGACCAAGTGACGATATATTCTTACGTATCTATCTATTACGTATGTATGTACATATATGTATGTATATGATGTACTTACGAGTACTTAAGTATGCACACTATTTCCCCTTTTCCAATACTAGACTTAATGGTCTCGTTTCTACTTTCTTTTATGCTCATTCGTTTCCTTTCAATCACTTTCCACTCACACTTTGACTATAGTTGATTTAATAAAAGTTGACTAAGCAAACACTTGTTGAGCAAATACCACAAAGCAGTGTCAACAGGGATTTCCTTGCAAACTCTTTCGACTTGGCGGGAATGTGGCGTGATTCGGAGAGAACAAATGTTGAAGGTTAAGTGATAAAGCATTTTTGTGAAGTGCGCTACGCTATTGATGTTCTTGAAGAAATAATGTAGACTGGAATGTTCATCGTATTCTTGTATGAACGAATGTGTATTTGGGTTTTGAAAACTAGTACTTAGAGCCGTTTTATTTAAACGTAGCTTTTCAAATGAGATTTTGTTTTAGAACAAATATTTATATATGTATGTAAATTAGAGTGGTCCAAAATAATAAAGTCGGAATTTTAATGCCGCCACCCCCTAGGATTGTTCTGAACCGAAAATAAATATACCCCTATTTTTTCATTTTGAAATCAAAAAATATTTAGGGAGCGCTCACAGCGCTCAAAGTTTTCCATGTATTTTATATAGGGAAAAAACACATTTTCGTAAAAATGGTATAAAACTCTTGAAAATCAATATTTTTCAATCGTAAAACCGTGGTTCTCTTCAAGAGATTTCAAATATTAATGTCCAATTGTTTATTTAACCA